GGGGGGGGGCGGGGCCCCGATCGTCCTCACGATAGTGGTGGCGGGGGCGGCGTCCCTCGGGCGCCCCGAGGCCTTCCTTGGGGTGCGGGCGGAGGGCGCAGAGCGGGGGCAAGTTACCACGGCGAGTGCACGGCATCAACTTGTCAGACTAACCAGCGCGTGCGGAGCGGCCGGGGGGGGGGGGGGGGCGCTTCGCTGCGAGTTCGTTGGGCTATACTACTTCTTGGCGCTGATAAAACGAAATTGCGTGATCTGACAAAAGACCTATGCCCCCTGGGGGAGTTTTCAAAGTTTGTCCGGCTGTTGCTGCGTGCTGGTTACCAAAAACTGCCGGAGCTTGAAAAGTGAGCTTTTACTTTGTACCTCTGCGCTGTCCGCGTGAATGTTGCTGTATTTTTTTTGTGCATTTCGTTTTCGTCAAAACATGTTGCGTAAGCGGGAAGCGTCCAGTAACCCACACCGCTGACCTTGCTGTGTGCTCACAGCGCGCAAAACTATATTAGCTGCGACACCCAGTCAAGGTCCGGCCCACGGCAGCCCACGGCCCGGCCAAGGTCGGCGTGATCGGAGGCCGCCCACACCGGGCCCGTGACCGGCGGGAAAGTTTCTCATCGAGAACCTCTCCTTTGCAGCTCGTCGCCGTGGTGGGGGTGTCGCACGCTCGGTCGTTGGCGCGGTCCTCGAGCCTGCCGTCGAGGGCGCCCCGGCCCGCGGAGGTGGCCGCCGCCGACCTGTTCACGCCGCCGGTCAGCAGCAGTAGCGCGCCGGCCGCACCGTCTCCCTTGACGACGACGGCCGGGCCGCGAGGGGGGCGACTTGTGCGTCGACGACGCCCAGCCACACGCACCCCGCCGTCGTCCAGCTCCAGGGGGGTCGACGACAAGGTGCTGGCCCCGCAGCAGCAGGCCGAGGAGACGACCCCGCTCCCGCCCGACTACTACGACTACCAGGAGGTGACGACGCCGCGGCCGCCGGCGCCCACGTCTCCGCCGCTGCCCTTCCCCACCACGCCGCCGCCGGATGTGCCCGCCACGTTCCCGCCGGACTTCCCCACCGAACCGCGGCCCCCGGACGTACCCTCCACCTTCCCCCCAGAGTTCCCTCCCGCGCCGACGACGGAGGGCCCCGGACCCAGCAGCAGCGAGGCGCCTCCGCCACCTCCAACGCCGTCGCCAGCAGAACCTCCAGGCGAGCAGCCCGAGCAGACCACACCTCCGGCAGAAACATCGCCCCCTCCGACCACATCAACGCCCGCGCCCACCACGCCCCCACCATCGCCTCCGCCTGCGCCCACCACGACTCCAGCGCCCCC